ACACAGTTTCACATCACCAAAGAAGTCAATGTGCTTTTACCTTGTATCTTTTACCTCTTTCTCCAAGTAAGCTCACTAGGTATTTTTTGATGTAATAACGGTGTTCTCGTTATACCTATACAAGCCTTTGGGAGCTCCCCCTAGAGGGCAGCTCTCCCATAACAGTTTTTCTTTTGTGTTCTTTATAAACATTTTAAATTTGCACAATATTATGAGAGAGAGAAATGGAAAGAAGGTGAGAGTGAAAGAAATAAAGAAACATTTTGACAATGACAAGCATTCTGGAGATCATGCCTTTCTAAAGTCTAAACCATTCCCGAAAGCTTGTCTTTCCTTATCACGTTAGTCCAAAAACAGGGTGGGCTATTATTGTTATCAGCCCAAAACTATTCTGACACAGAGGACCTCAGAACAAATTTGAAAGATTGGGAATCTAAAGCCCTTTTTAAGATAAAATAGGGAAGGTATACCAGGTTGTACCCTTGGAAGGCAGTTTAAAAGGGTCTACCTGCTATTTCTCCTTACAGTCCCATGTGAGATAATATTGATTTGTAATGTAACATTTACAAAGATTTCACAGATTCTGTCATATATGCATATTCTATACATGTAATGTGCATGTTAATGCTTTTGGAAAATTCAAGAAACTTTATGAACAAAAATATATTACAAGATACTAATTTTACATCTGTTTTATATCCGAATCACTGTTAATGTGGTTAATATTTCTACTCCAAGACTAGAGACAAAAGAGAAGTCAAATAAGTTTAGGTACGATGTTTCCAAGGAAAAAGGTAATGCACGCTAGCGGTCCTGCAGGTGTGAACAGAGAATATACAAAGAGAAGTGATTGGGACAAGATCTATTGTTGAAGCATTGGGAATGCTATCATTTTTTGAAGAAATTGGCAATGTATTCAAAGCTGTAATCTCCTCCAAGGCCTGAATCTGTCATAAGGTTGCTTACTGCACATAGATAGCAGTACACTTTTTGATTTCTGCGGCAAACCAAAACAACAAAATATAACTCAATAATTTAAGCTTATTTAAAGGATGACACCTAATCATAGACATTAAAGTGAAGAAATGAGCTTGAACATAGCATTGGTTTCTTGAACAAGAACAATGAATCTTATTTACATAGACTGCTTTCTAATTATTGTAGTTTAAATACATTATTGTGAGTATTATTTTTTGGTTTGACATGCAACCAGACACACCAACAATTTTGAGCTCCTAAAAACTAGTGACATTTGAATGGAAAAGAGGGACAGAGAGATTTGGCCCAAAATGGAGACCGCCCCGACTAAACAAGGACACATGACATGTACGTCCTTCTATATAACAAAGGTACTTGTAATAGCAGTTGGTAAGAGAGGTAAAAAAACCAGAGGTCTATATGGTATTTTATTTGCGCACTGTAAGAAGTTGATAAATGTAAAGGTGACCTTTACGTATAGTGTAAACAGAAGATGAATGCCTCGAAGCAGTCTGTTAAGTTGGCATACACTTGTAACAGTAGAGATAAAAAAAAAACAGAGACACTGAATTCTTGTTTGGGGGAAATCCTGCCTAAAGACTAACTGCTGTCAGATAGGTTTAGTAGACAGCATTTGATGAGTCTTTTCACTGATGCCAAGTAAGTTTAGTAGGTAGAGCATGAAAAGGGCATCTAAAATGTTACCTTTATTAGCACTGTTTCATGGTTGGTGATAAGAATTTTCCCAAAATAGAAGTAAGAGGAAAGATGGAGGCACAGTTTTTCTTGAATTATTATTACAAATTATTAATCTTTTGTATGAATTATATTTTTCTGTGTTGACTTGACAGCACAATTGTTTTTAGAAACACATTCAATGCATTGGGGTACAAAGGGGAGCTGAATTTTCCTCCAAAGGATAGACGCAACACTGGACAATTCCTGGAGCAAAGTCACATGGTGTAACAAAATGTGTTTCCCATTAAAAACATTTTCATGCTTGCTCTCACAGTGTGAGTATAAAAACATATAATTTAATTTTAATTCCTTCATGATTTGAGGTTTTAGACTAAAATAAAACTGTCACACACAGAAAGGATATATCAGCATGAACAAAACCCAAAAAGTTGAATATACTGTGTTCCAAACCACAGTACGTACTTGAATAATAACTTGATTTATGGTACTATAATGCAATGACCGTTACATTGTAAACTATCCTGTTAAAGGACCACTATAGTGCCAGGAAAACATACTTGTTTTCCTGGCACTATAGTGCCCTGAGGGTGCCCCCACCCTCAGGGTCCCCCTCCCGCCCGGCTCTGGAAGGGGGAAAGGGGTTAAAAACCTTTTTCCAGCGCTGGGCGGGAGCTCTCCTCCTCCGATCCTCCTCCGCGCCCCCCGGCTGAATGCGCGGCAAGAGCGCGTATTCAGTTGGGCATAGGAAAGCATTTATAATGCTTTCCTATGGGACGCTGTGCCTTCTCACTGTGAAAATCACAGTGAGAAGCACACAGCGCCTCTAGTGGCTGTCAATGAGACAGCCACTAGAGGATTAGGGGGAAGGCTTAACCCATTCATAAACATAGCAGTTTCTCTGAAACTGCTATGTTTATAAAAAAATGGGTTAACCCTAGAAGGACCTGGCACCCAGACCACTTCATTAAGCTGAAGTGGTCTGGGTGCCTAGAGTGGTCCTTTAACACCAAGGAAATCAACAAGGCAAGAGTTTTGGAGAACTGAAAAAAAATAGTACAATCATCCTTCAACACTGTCACACTCACCAAGCACCCAACTCTCACACTAATCCTGTCACTCACACCCCTCACGCTGTCACACTTCCTCCCTACCCTGTCACAGTCTCCCTGTATTCACCTTATCATAGTCTGTCCATGAAGACCATCATCGTCATACAGTCACCTCCCACACATAAAACACAGCCTTAACATAGACTCAAAAACAAACACAGAAAAAAGCAACATGCTTACACACAACACAATGCAAGCAATCACCTCCCACACATATGGTCCCAGACACAAGTACACTCTGCCATAAATACAGACACGCAGCCAGAATTGAACACACACCTTTGCAGGAACATACGCAGGTACACAAACACACAGACAAGCTCAGAAATGCACACACAAACCCAGGAATATAAATAGATGCTTATTGCTAGACACTCAGTCCCCATCATACATTCTCAGCCTCCACAATCCTAACAATGCTCAGCCAGTACACACTCTCCCACACACGCTCACAGAAAAGCAAGTGAACAATAATTTGCTAATATGCATGCATTCAGTCATGATTTTATTTCAAATGTCTACTTTTTAAATAATCCAGATCCTAAACTTTATATAGGGTCCAGATGGAAAAAGCACTTATGTTGAACAAGATACTGCACCCAACTGCATGATTTAAATATAGTTGGGTGGACTGAATTCCAACTGGACTTGGCTTTAGTAAATATTAGAATTGCCATTTAGGTCAGAATTTGTCCATATTCAGCAAATCCTGGTCTTTAGTTAATAATAATAAATACTATTTGCTATTAAATTTTCCATAATTTTTGCTTAACCCCTTAAGGACCAAACTTCTGGAATAAAAGGGAATCATGACATGTCACACATGTCGTGTGTCCTTAAGGGGTTAAAGAGTAAACTCATATATAATTTTGATGTTTTGGTAACTTGGATATCTTTTTTGTGGATTTACCACTTTAAATATGATGTCACTACCTGCTGTGCTTTATAGAAGTTTGGAGTCTAAGCAGAATTTTTATATTGATAATGAGAATATTTAAATTAAGATCAAGAGTTTAAAACTTTTAAAATGCGCAATGTACGAATTACAATATAAACTAGACAAATGCATTCCCATATTTGTGGCAATTTAAAAAGTAAATAGCATTATAAAATGTTCTAATGGTTTTATTCAAGAACATTCTATGATTATTAAACTAATACATTATTATTATCTTCACTATGTCCAATGCTCTGAAGCTTACTTTCGAATCTCAAATTACATCATGAAAATCTATGAGAAGAAATGCATCTTTGTCTATATCTTTTCTCCTTAATTTTTCACATACCTTTGTTCTTTGTCATTCAAAAGTAATCAGTGTTTAATATGTTTAATAAAGTTAAAACATCAATGCATTAATTGCAATTTTATAAGCACCCAAGAACAGCATACAGTAAATTTTCTGAATTTCCACATTAAATAGATCATGGAATGAAAATTATTAATTATAAGAGATTGCATAATTGAAACTAAGCTATTATCAATTATAAACACACTCATTACAGGTAGATCACCTTGGTTAAAATGCAGCAAGGGGGTTCTTGCAATGGTGACATGGCATGAGAAATTATTAAATGGTGAGAATGCTAATGAGTAAATGAGAAATTACCAGTCAAATATAAATGTACATGCAAGCAGATTTATATGGTATGAATTATAGCTGATATTTACCCCTGGGATTGCTCAACACTTAGCTAATGCATTTATTCTGTAAGCAATTTAGCTCACCTTCTTAAAGTACACGCAAATAATGCGTATGACATTGCCAATCGCCACTGCAATACATTTTTGTATAAAAAGTAATTCTCTAAGCTCTAAAAATATTTCAGAATGGCAAAATTCAGGGCAAATCTCTTATGAGTGGGCACACACATATACACCTGCACACTTGCATACATAATGGCAAAGGCATGCACATTTTATGTACACATATATACACACACATAAGCACAATAAAATGCACACATGGAGGCATACCCACTCATGCTTACAGGAAGTCTAGCTGACTATACTAGGAAATGTAATCCGAATTACAGTTTATATGTTTAAATAACACATATATTGGGGGGGCGGCGCCTGACTTCCGGTGCGGATGGCTGCTCTCTGCTAGAGCTTCGTACCGGCAGGCACAACAGCGTTTACCGGCACGTATACCCGACGAACGGGCAGCACACCCGGTCCCCAGCATCCCGGCCACGGCACTCCACCGACCCGACATGGGAGGAGGGCGCAAGACTAAGCATGGCGCGGAGGTAGCGCCAATCTTTCACGCCCGCAGGGAGGAGAGCTCCTCACGTGGGGAAGATGGCCGCGAGGAGGACTCAGATTCGGCGGCAAGTGACACCAGCCGCACGGCAGCCGCAGCACCTCTTACAAAAGCTGACCTCAGGCACCTGCTGCAGGAGATCAAAACCAACATGGCTGCAGAGTTTTTCAGACACCTGACTCCCATCACTGAAAGCCTAAATGACCTCACACGCAGAACTACCGCCATTGAAGACCAGCTGGACCGCACCTCCACGCAGGCACAGACAAATGAAACTGCCATCTCAGCACTACAAGACCAGGTACGCCTGCTGGAAGAGGCCCAAGAGGACCTCAACAACCGTTCCCGCCGCAACAATATACGAATTCGCGGGGTGCCAGAGACGGTTGGAATAGACATGCTGGCCCCCACTTTGAGAGAGTTTTTCTGCAGCCTACTCCCAGAGGCCTCACCGGCCGAGCTCCTATTAGACAGAGCCCACAGGGCCCTTAAAGCACCCCTCCCGAACGCAACCCAGCCCAGGGACATCATCATCCGCATGCACTATTTCCATATAAAAGAAGCGCTGATGCGAGCGGCGAGAAATAACCCACTCCAAATAGAGGGGCATCAAGTCTGCTTTTATCAAGATTTAGCTCCAAGCACGCTACGCAAGAGAAGGGAACTCAGACCCCTAACCTTGGAGCTGGCCAGGAGACACATAAGATACACATGTGGCCACCCCTTCAAGCTACAAGTGAGACAAAACAACCGGGTACACACTCTGTACCATATCTCCGAAGCCACAGCATTCGCGGAACGCCTGGGCCTTCCGGCCATCAACCTCACCGCCGAACAGCCTGATAGACGCCCAGCAGGAAGACTTTCTCCAAGGGGCCCAACACTGCACCCGACAAGGGCTCCACCTCCCAGCAGTCCTCACCCTCAACCGGCCACCTAAAGACGTACAGATGACCGCACCTCTACGACATGGACCGTCACCTTCCACACGACCCTCACCGATTCCACGCCGCCAGGACAACCGCAAACACACAGACTACCGGACCCACGGCATCGCACGCCAGGAGAACACGAACTATCTGACCACAGGTCGCCCGGAACCAGATAAGCTATGACTTTACCCTAAACAGGACTAATTATGTGGCAACCCTATGTTGCATGTTTTAACTCTAAGCTTTAGCCCTACAATTACAGCCAAATACGGCATGGGAAATCACGTGGGGGGGAGGGGGGTATGGAACAGGAATGGGGGGAGGGAGGGAAAACACAAAGAAAACACGGGGAAAAAAACAAAACACACCACACACGCACCACCGGGACCCCCGGGCCCAGCCGCTAATGAGCCCACCACTAGACCCCCAGATGAACCCACTTCAGCTGAACACAGAACCCATGGGACCCCACTAATCTTACACTCCCCAAACACAAACTACTGCCCCCACAGGGGACACAGGCTGCCAACCCCGTTTCTGGACATCAAAGCGGGGAGGGGACACTAGACAGATAGTGGGGAACACGCCCAGCTGACCCCGGCAACTGACACCTGCCTGTAGGCAGGCACCCAGGGAACCCATACAAGCATAGCCCCCCAGACAACCTAGCACACAGACGGAATCGGGCCCTTCCCTGGTGAGCCAGTGAACCCCACACCCTCCCACCACACTAGAGTCCCTAGGCCCCAGCCATATGGAAAGCACCCCATCGGGAAAGACGCGCAAGAAGTCTCACACTACAGGGGACCCCCTCCCCCTCCCCGCTAATTACACAACCAGCCGAACTACCAAAGGGAGGGTGAAAAGAAAAGAGGGGGGAAAAAAAAAAAGGGGGAAAAACAAAAAGGGAAAAATACACTAAAAATGGGACAAAAAAAAAAAAACACATGCAGACACAGATATACTACTGCACACGAGCCCATGCATTCAACACAGACCACTGATCCTGGACTGACGGGCAAGCCTATCTCCAGACAAACATCGAGCCAAAATAATGTAGGGGGATTGACCCCTGGGGGGGACCAAGTAACTAAGCCACTCAACGCACGAACACGGGGCACCCTGTACTGGACGCCCCCGGGCACCTTTCCCCCTGCCCCAACAGATCACTGGAGGCACTCTAACTTCCAGAGCACAAAGACAATTCATATTATGGTACACTCATACTGTCGCAGCAATGTCTGTCACTGTTCTGCATGTTATGTATATTTTTTCTAAATGTCTCATTTTCTTTTGTGGTAACAACATCTCTCCTTTGGACCCGGTCACGACCACACCACGAAAGGCACCCACTGATGCACCGGACGCGACACAGACAAGGGAGCTAGCGAACGCTAAGCAGACGCTATAAACACATCACCAGACCCTGGCGGCACGGACGCACTGACCCTACACGCCTACACCTTCATACGAGGTGAGGAACGATAGACATGACGGTCACAATCACTACTTGGACCGACCACCACCTACCAACGTATACGATTCAATACTCACATTGCCTACCGGCAACTCTGCTAGAGAGATTGCCAACCCCTGACGACACGACACCACTAGGGTACGAACACCCACCGAGCGGATAGACGCTCACCCCGCATACTGCTGGCAACAATATAAGCCCAGCGGATCACCCCTCCTAACATTCAACCCTCACCCCCAAAACCCTCACGAACCCCACCTTTCCCATAGATAAGAACCCCAACACCCACTCACCCTCTCCCCATCCCCATGGCCTTGGACCGCCCGGGAGCGGGGCCCCCAACCTTCTCACACTCCCCACCCCAGAGCCCTAGCGATAGACCAAAGACACCATGCCTGTAAACTTGCGGTGCGTATCTATTAACGCAAAAGGGCTGAACTCCCCCGCCAAGAGACATGGCATACTAAGATGGGCTCACAAACAAAACATAGACATCCTACTTATACAAGAAACCCACTTCACGGCCCAACGCGCTTTCCCCCTCACCAACAGACATTATTCTGAGAGCCAACTGCCCCCTCTCAGACATGGTATGCAACAGGGACCCGCAGGGACGCTACGTAACCATACAGGGGAAAGTGGGCACTACAACCTACGCCTTCTCCTCGATCTACGCACCTACGACACCAGACGCCTCATTCTGGCAACAACTGACCACACACCTCAACACTTACTCAACTGCGCGACTCGTGGTCGGGGGGGATTGCAACGCAGTCCACACCCCAGCCACCGACAGGACCTCTACTGCCACGGCACGTTCTCGCCCGTCGCAGAATGATTCCCTATTCCACCAATTTCTCACCTCACAAAAACTGATCGACATATGGAGGGCACAACACCCGTCAACCAAAGACTAGACGTTCTACTCCCACCCGCATGGCACGTATTCACGCATAGACCACTTCCTGGTGACCCCTAACCTAGTACCACAAATCACTAAATCCGAAATCGGCTCTATATCGTGGTCCGATCATGCGGAAATAGCTATCACCCTCGCTCTACCGTCGATTTATCGACAATGGTCATGGAGGCTGAACCCTCTTCTCCTGCATGACAAATCAATCACCGACAAAATAGCTAAAGAGCTGAAAGAGTACTTTGACCTAAACACACAGGCGGACACTGCGGCTGCCACGATATGGGCCGCCCATAAAGCGGTCATCAGGGGCACTGTCATTAGCCTGGCCACCCATAAAAAAAGACACACACAACAGCAAATCACTGACGCCATGACGGAACTCCGCCGCCTATAAACCCTACACAAAAAGAACCCTAACCCCGCCACGCTAACTAAACTGACAGCTACCCAGGACCTCCTCAAAACCCTCACACAACAAGACACCTCCAAGGCCCTGATGTGGCTAAAACGGACGTTCTACGAAAAAGGGAACAAGGTGGACACTATGCTGGCCCGCCGACTCAAACACCGAATAGAGTCCAAACGGATCTCGGCCATACGCACCACAGGAGACGACGTTAGCAATGACCCAACTCGCATAGGTAGCATTTTCCAGGATTACTACACCAACCTATATAACCATACCCGAAACTCCCAAACCGATTCAGAGCCCCTACGCACTCGCATAGACACATTCCTACAGAAAGCGACCCTGCCCTCCATGACCCAGGAGGCCAGGGCCGCGATAGGGCAGGAGGTCACGGTGGAGGAGATGGCACAGGCACTCGGACCTTTCGAGCCAAACAAGAGCCCGGGCCCCGATGGCTACTCGGCCATATACTACAAAGAATTTAGCCCTATCCTACTACCCCACCTATGCAGAGTATTCAACGCCACATTGAGGGGGGAAACCCTCCCGCCAGACATGACAAGGGCTCACATTTGCCTCCTCCCCAAACCCGGAAAGGACCAGCTAGAACCTGCCCACTATAGGCCGATCTCCCTGCTTAATGTTGATCTCAGACTCATGACCAAGGTCATGGCAAACAGACTAAATCCACACCTGGGATCACTCATACACCCCGATCAGGTGGGCTTTATACCCCAGAGACAGGCAGCGGACAACACCCGAAGGGCCATTGACCTCATTTGGCTCGCCAACCATAGACGTATCCCAACAGTAGTCATATCGCTCGATGCCGAAAAGGCTTTCGATCGCCTCACATGGCAGTTCTTACACCAAACTCTGACACACATAGGACTACCACCAGAATTCACCTCGTTCCTAACAGCGGTATACCACGACCCCCAGGGGGCACTCCTGTTGCCTAATATCCCACCCCCATGCTTCCCTATCACTAACGGCACGCGACAGGGGTGCCCTCTGTCACCCCTGCTGTTCGCCCTCTCCCTGGAGCCCCTTCTCCGGACGGTACGCGCCAATACGGAGGTGGAGGGGATCACGGTCAGGGGGGAAATATTCAAAATTTCGGCATACGCCGATGACATCCTGCTGACCCTGACCAACCCAGAGCGCTCCCTAGGGCCCTTCCTCGCCATTGTGGAAGAATACTCGGAAATTTCGGGATATAAGCTCAACTTGAATAAATCAGAACTGCTTCCTGTCCAAATGAACACCACAACGCTAGATAGGATCCGCCTCACCTTCCCTCTCCGGGTCTGCCACTCGGCTATTTCCTATCTCGGGATCCAACTAACAGCTAACGTCACGTCCCTATACTCCAAGAACTACACCCCTATAATACTCAAAGCATACGAGGACTTGGTCACATGGAAACCCCTGGGCATATCATGGATGGGACGCGTGACCTCCATCAAGATGAACCTCCTACCTAGGTTCCTCTACCTTTTCCAAACCCTCCCAATCCCTCTACACAAACCAGATTTCAAGGCCCTCCAAACGGCTATTGATAGGTTCGTATGGAACGGACGCAAACCAAGAGTACGCAGGAGCACGCTATATGTCCCCAAGAAATCCGGAGGCCTAGGCCTACCGAACTTCTTACACTACCACACAGCAGCACACTTAGCACAGATACAGCACTGGCACGTACAGCTGGGTGAGAAGAGATGGGTGGATTTGGAACACCTGATCTTTGGCTGGGACCACCCGTCCCTATACATGTGGACACCCAGGCCAGACAGACCCCTACCACCGCCGACAGCACCCGCGATCACGCACGCACTTGACCAGTGGGACAAAGCGAAAGATAAGTATGATCTCTCATCTTTCCTTTCCCCGATGACCCCGATCTGGCGGAACAAACTGTTTCCCCCGGGCCTCACACCCAAACACTTCGCCAAGTTCGATCAAAGAGACATTGCTAGAATAGGACACCTCTATCAGGACAACGACATTATCCAGTTCTCAGACATCCCAGACTCCGCGTCCCTCAAAACATTTGACCACTTTCGGTATATACAACTACGTAGCTTTGCAGCGATCCCAAGCATTAAACAAGCGGGGACAGCACCACTCACCAAATTTGAACGTGGATGCGTGACCCACCCCAACAGAAAAGGCCAAATCTCAGACCTGTACACAATCATAGCTAATCACCCCACACAACGCTCCCTCCCATACGTATCAGCGTGGGAGACAGACCTGGGTCCACCGACCGAAACGACAGACTGGGCGGATATCTGGGAGGCAACAGCCTCCGTCTCCATATGCGTTACACACACCGAGCAGGCATATAAAATGCTTTTTTGGTGGTACCTCACACCACAACGCTTGGCTTCTATGCACCAGACACCATCCAACGCATGCTGGAAGCTATGTGGAGAGACGGGAAAGTTCGCCCGGATCGAGCTCGCCATCCGCAGAGCCATAGCCGAACTCTGGTCTACGACCCGCATCCCAACACAAGAAATGATAACAAGAAAAATAACAGAGAGTTCACAGATGGATAAACTGACAGCACAACTCCGTGACACCCCCAAACATTTTCACAAAGTATGGGACCCATGGCTAGAGGGAGACACATCCATCCCCTGGTAGCCGTATGCACAAACTGAGCACCTGCCAACAATGCAACAAACGACTAGGTAGCTAACACGCTACCCCTCACTGAACACATGAGACCATGGCTCTTACGCCTGCCACCACTGAGCCCCAGCCCCCCCCGGTCCCACTCTTGGGGACGCCGCGCTCCGGGCGGTCCGCGACCCCAACCCCTATCTCCAACCCGACCCACTATAATCAGGCCACCCACGACACCACCAACCTCAAGGCCTCACCCCACCAACCCAACCACTCACGACACAACCAGAAGTACCATTCACCTGGGAACAGGGGAAACACTAGGACGACCACCCTACTAACGGGCGCAGAGACGAACCTGACAGGCGGAACCCGAAGCGGGGGTTAAAAAGCTGGAACACAACAAACACCAACTAGGGTCCCTCAAAACTTGACAGGAGAATGATCGACCTGTAAGCAAAAATACAACTGCCGACTCGGACTGACACAATAGACCGGGACTTACCGGCTAAGCAGATAGGAAAACACACCCCAACGCCAGCCGCACTCTCGACCCGCACGGACTCTCTACCCCTTCCTCGGTGACCCCACCGCTTCGAGAGGGTACTAGATTACACATCAACACAGGTTCGATAACTGGTAGCCATTATAGTCTAATACATACTGTTCACCATTGTACTACCATATTTTTAAACGTACCCTGCGTTGGTACAAACCTGTCTGAATGGAACTGTCGTACCCCTCCCCCCCCCCTTTTATTTTCTGTATCCCTTCCCTTGATTACTGATACCAACACAAAACCAATAAATAAAGAATGATAAAAAAAAAATAACACATATATTTAAATAAAGGTCATTAAAATATTATAGCACTTTCAATATATCAGTGTGCTTTTTTTTTTTTTACACAAAATTTTATGTTTACCGTTCGTTACCTTATATTGTTTTATGGGACCTCGTCAGCATACAGCATCTCTGTCCAAACTTACCATGTGAAAGCTAATATGTAAGGAGAGGGAAGATCTGAGCAGCTTGGTAAGTTTGCTTGTTTGCTTTATCTTCCTTAGGGATCCAGAAAACTCTGGTAAAAAAAGAGTTGGAGTTCAGTTTAATACTTTGAGTGACATTGGTGTGCCCAACACATTTGTGGGCTGTGTACTAAGCACACATACGGAACTCAAAAGGTGAAGGTCCCCAAAGACAAAGTTTAATTTGAGATGTAGTGGAGTTGCTAAGTGAGACTAATCACGTGATGCTGTTGATTGTGTAATCCCTGCCGTCTCGGTGTGAGTGCATATGGGAACCTAAGGTAACAAAACCAGCCATAAAACTGTCCTGTCATAAGAACTGTGAGTGACAAATACATCTTCCCAGCTGAATGAATGACAAGATGTTGTGTATCTGAGTCTTTAAGTTGTGAAGATCATAACTCATTGTTATATAAACATTTTTCCTGTTACAGTAAATATTAATATTGAAGTGAGTTTTGTTAGCAAAGAAATCTCGTCAGGAACAGACATTTTTGTTAATAAAAGAACTATACAAACTTTGTCAAGACATATCATGAGTCGTGCTTATTTGTGACCAGTTCAGCAGTGGTATCTCCCATCTTTATAAAACTAGACATGAGCTCTGTATTGCAACACTATACCACTATATTTATGCCATACTTGGCTAATAATGATGGTAGTCACACTCTTATAAAAGACTTGCACAAGGTGGCAAACTGTCCATTAATTATGGGGTAAAATTGCACAGATGAAATAACCATCTATGCTTAACAAGCATACCAATGATGGGAGGTATGCATGAGTATTGGACAGATTGATAGGCTACAAAGAGGTGGCAGCAAATGACAGACCTGTTGGGGAAAGTTGTGGGCCCACTGTAAAGTGACAGCATCTTAGTTTAGTGCTTAGTGATCTACTTTACCATATTCAAAAAGTAAATTGTATTCAACAACATAAAAAGATTTCATATGTCTGTTCTCCCATAGAATTGTTCATCCCGGAGATCATGGACCTGAACGGTTAGCAAATATAAATTTAATTGTAGGCCTTTCTATGTACTTTATATTTGCTCAGTATCACAATTCTATCAGAATTCTGGAAAACTCTGATACAATTTACCGGAATGTGTGCTCTTAAAATGTATTCCTATTAGACATTCATGATGAAGGTACTGTCACATATAAAACAGTCACTTACCAAGGTGGCTATTTCTAGATGCAGAGAAAAATTATACTCTATCGGAGCTGCTTAGTGATTATAATTATAAGTACTTGCAAAAGTCACAATGACACAGCAAGGGTGTGAAAAGACGCAGGCAAAGCAGTTTTAAAATTTTGCAGTAAAATGTAAAATATAATCAGAGTTTATTTTGGATCTTTGTTCCTTAATTTTAAAAGGGTGAAAGTATTATATGTTTAGATTCCAATGCTTTCATAATCTCATATTATTATTTTAAATCTGTGTCAATTTGGCATACAAAAGAATTTGATTTATAGTATAAAACTTAAAAATCATACATTTGCTGCTCCTTTCAATTTCTTTGGTATTTAGTCACTAAACATTAAAATGTAGTGAAATGGAAAAGAACATTGCAAAATGTAAGTTTATTATCATCAAATTGGAATAGTTTTCATTTCTTCACAATTTGGTATTAAAGGTTTATGCCAAAATAGCTGAACTGGAGAAAAAAAAAAGCATCTATTTTCCATTTTTTTTTTAATTTTATACTAAAATGTAAAATTCACTGGTGAAGTCCATAAAAATGATGGTTAATTCATGATTAATACACGCATATACATACATACACTGCTCAAAAAAATAAAGGGAACACAAAAATAACATATCCTAGATCTGAATGAATTAAATAGTCTTCTGAAATACTTTGTTCTTTACATAGTTGAATGTGCTGACAACAAAATCACACAAAAATGAAAAAATGGAAATCAAAATTTTCAACCCATGGAGGTCTGGATTTGGAGTCACACTCAAAATTAAAGTGGAAAAACACACTAAAGGCTGATCCAACTTTGATGTAATGTCCTTAAACTAGCCAAAATGAGGCTCAGTAGTGTGTGTGGCCTCCACGTGCCTGTATGACCTCCCTACAATGCCTGTGCATGCTCCTGATGAGGTGGCAGATGGTCTCCTG